AACCTTTTCATGATATGCTAAATTTTTGAGATAGGGATTTTTGATTTTTCTTTACTTTTTTTGCCAAAAATCCTCAATATTAAAACAATAAAAGGTTTGAACTACTTCAGTTGGTGTGCAATGAATCTAAAATATATGAAAGTTTAATGTTTATCAGTACATTACAGAAAATAATGAACTTTATCACAATATGCTAATTTTTTTAGAAGGACCTGTACTTTGAATTTTGGTTCTGTTTCATGTATTTCTGATTAGTTTGTCCTCCAGTTCTGTTCTGTTCTGCAAACAGCCAGCTGCACCTGATCCTGGTTGTCTCTGCACAGGTGTTGGATATTTAGGTTCATTAGTTTGTCTCTGTTGGTTTGTCTTTTCCTTGATTCTGTATTATACACTATGAGTGTTCATTTTTTTTAATCTCTATGTGTTTGTGCCCAGCCCACATGAGTTCTGTCCTGTCCTGTCCTGTCCTGTCCTGTCCTGTCCTTTCCTGCCTCAACAGCTTTTTATTTATTACTAAAAGAATGTTTGTTTTAGAAAAAGAAAGGTTCCAGAGGTATTTCTCTGGTTAAAATCATCATCAACCATGACAGCCTCTTTAAATGTCTGACTTGTTTTGTTCTAAATGCTTCAAAGAGACTGTCTCATAATATTGAATGCAGTGATTTAAGCAAACAGAGCCAGGGTTAATTAATCTTTTCTACCTGTAACTAATTTGTTCTGGTAATTAATTACACTTTGATGACTTCACTGGTGCTGGATGCATATGGGTCTGATCACACACAAAATTAGATTTTAGAGCCAGGATCCATGCTAATGCATCATCTGTAAATCCAAACAGTCTGGACTTTGTGTGACTTAACATTACTCAATCAGACAAAGACGTTAACACATGGTGATGCTCAGGAAAAGAGCTTTATTAGCTGGAGAAGCAGGAAGTGAGAACCTTTAGTGGTTTTGCTGATCCATTGATGTGAGTACAACTCTTTCTTTTCAACAGATCCTGAAGCTGAGCTACAACAAGCTCACATCAGTGAACCCCGGTCTGTTCGAAGGGCTCGTTGGTTTGGTCCGACTTCACCTGGACCACAACCTCATAGACTTCATCGAACCATACTCCTTTTCTGGTCTGACCTCACTGAAGCTCCTGCAGCTGGAGGGGAACCTCCTCAAAGAGATCCATCCTCATACCTTCATAACTTTGTCAGTACTTGGAAGCTTTTGGACCTCTGGACTCAAGTAAGAAACAGTAGACAGTCTTATCAGAACTGAGAATATTTTGGCCCAAGCTATTTCCTTTGATTAAACATCAGAAAGAAAAACATTGTATAGGTCTTCTGGACGGGTTCTTCTTTAATGAAACGTTTCGTCTCTCCTCCAAGAGACTTCTTCAGTCTGAGAGTTTCAGGCAAAATTCAGGCTTTTAAGCCCTGCCTCCATGTGACTGATACTCACATCACATGGCTATCATTGACACCTAATTAACACCTATTGTTAACAGGGGGTGGAGTGATACTGGCAATAGCAGCGCTGTAGGAGGGGGACAATTGAAAACGGAGGCCTCCACCTCTGTTTAATGATGGACGGTCTGTCTTCACAAAAATGGCTTCTTTTACTCCTCTCTCAAACCAACGTTCCTCTCTATCAAGAATGAGAACATCCTCATCTCTGAAAGAGTGACCGCTGGCCTGTAAATGAGTGAAAACTGCAGAGTTCTTGCCATTAGATGTAGCTCATCTGTGTTGGGACATTCTTTTGAACAGTGGTTGCTTTGTTTCCCCGATGTATAACTGGTCGCAGTCCTCCTGGCACTTAACAGCATATACAATATTGCTCTGTTTGTGCCGGGGCACCGGATCTTTGGGGTGAACCAGCCTTTGCCATAATGTGTTTTGGTGTTTGAAAGCTACTGGGACATCATGTTTAGAAAATAAACGTCTCAGTTTCTCCAAAACACCCGCAACATACGGAATAACCACTGGTTTGGGTCTGGGTTTGGGGTCTTCATTTTCACCTGAAGGTTGCATGGAATCCTGTCTGTGTTTCCTGTCTGCTTTCAGGAAAGCCCAGTCAGGATAACCACACTGCTCCAGGGCCTGTCGTGTGTGTGATTTCTCTTTCTCCCTGGCTCCTGGGTTTGTAGGGAGGCAGGGCTTAAAAGCCTGAATTTTGCCTGAAACTCTCAGACTGAAGAAGTCTCTTGGAGGAGAGACGAAACGTTTCATTAGAGAAGAACCCGTCCAGAAGACCTATACAATTTTTTTCTTTTTGATTTTTTACCTGGATTACTGAGATGCATCAGGACATTTAATTAAACATATTTTGACAAAAAGCAATCACTAAAGGAGTTGATGTTTGTGTTTTAGACACTTACACCTGTCAGACAACTTGATAGAGGAGCTTCCTGCCACAGCTTTAAAGTCATGTTCAAGACTGGAGCTCCTCACTCTGCATGGAAATCCCTGGAACTGTGACTGTCACATTCACTGGTTGGTGGAATGGAGTGCCGCACATGAAGGCAAGATGTTTAAATGATGCAGTCGTAAAAGGTTTTAACTTTTTTTGGTGGTACAGAGAGAAAAATGCTGTGTTTATAATTTTATTTGTACACCAAACTCTAACCTTTGCCTAACCTGGACAACAGAAAGGTTCTGAAAACTACATTCATATGAACCAGCATAAATTTTAAAGATTAGAGTTATTGAAGAAGGGTCACTTTCGTGGCTTGTCAGAGTTGGGCCACTTCCAAAGTAGATTTAGTCATTTTAAAGTGACCTCATAATGTCACGTTAATGTGTTTTTTCTCTGTTCTACAAAAAGTTGTTTTTGACACGTGAAAACATCTTATTATTTTACAATTTGTTTATGCAGTGGTGGGCACCAGTCCACTAAAGCGCAAATCTGCTAATTGCAGACCTAAATATTTCATTTGTGCTTAAACAGTCACACTAACTTTTATAATTCATAAGTAGATTTGCAATAACTAATTATCTACCAGTCATCATTATCTCAAACAGTGGAAGACATGGCTGTCAAAGAATCACGACACATGATCTGTGCAACAACACCCCTCCCAGACAAACACACTTATTGGAAACGTATACATCCTTCCTGAAAGTTGCTCTCGGTCACGGTTCTGATTTCCCACAATGCTTTGTGTCTGCTTACATAGCAGGAAGGCAATGTTTAGAACTCCCCTTCCCAGCAAAAACAGTAAACGTTTGTAATCCATACTAAAATTTTGTATGTATTGATTTATTTTACTTTACAATCAGAGCTCCTTTCTAAAAAAATAACGTTTAAAAGCTGGAGCTCAATACTTGACATAACTGGTTGAAGCAACAGTGTTAGAGACTCAGAAATGATTTAAAGATGTTATGCTGATGAAGACTGACATCTAGTGGTCAACTGGTGCAACTACACAGAAAACTTTCATTTCCCATCACAAATCAAATCCGTCATGTACCCAGAATGCATCGCTTCAGTTTTCCAATAAACAGTTTTAAAATTACTTTATTGATGCTTCTTTGATGAAAAATTGACAACAAACGAAAGAAAAAGACAAAGAAGCAGCCGAACTAGCAATCCTCAACAAGTTTTTAATTTTTACACCAGGAGCTAAAGGTCTGTTTCAGGAAATCACATCCCCAGCAATCCACGCTTATAGGGTTAAGATGTTCAAAAATTCAAACTCTGTTAGTTGGAAGTGTTGTACATATATTGTATAGTTGTTGCCAGCTGGTAAGTGTCAAATCAAACTTGGGCATTAGAATTACCTTCTGTGGCATAAGTATATTTGAAGTTACAGACCTAAACAATTTCATAAGTGCTTTAGAAGTTGTGGAGCTAATTTTTGGATTAGTGCTGCCTTCCACTGTGTATATGTTTATTACATTTTCCCCTTAAGCATTCTGCCATTTTGTAAAATTACTGATGCAATGCATTCTGGGGATGATAATAGGTTGCAGTGAAGACTAAAACACAAAGTCAAGGCTAAAAACCTATATTGTATCACAATAATGTTACATATTGTATTAAGTGTCTATGTTGTACACAATATATGGGTTCAAACATGATCAATGTAAATGAGCTCTGGACAAAACACTATATTTATTAGGTCTGCAGTAGGATGACCAGACATCCCAATTTCCAGGGACAGTCCAAATCTTGGATGACCTGTCCCTGGATACAACTATCCCTGGTTTTAGAATTTTATGAATGAGAAAAAAAGTTGTCTGTAGACTGTTATTATGGTAGACGGGTATAAAAAGGGAGTAAGCATGTTGCACAACAATAGTTGTTACATTAGCTGGTTGCATTGATGTTAACGTCACCATCAACATGAAGCTGTTCTGTGATATGCTATGGTTTGGATTGGGCTGATCCTTGTCCTGATACAAAGGTTTGGTTAGGAAATGTTGTCAACTGTGCCCAGATTAAAAAATAGGGCTTGGATGTGATTTAACTAAAGATGAGGTCTAAATTAAAAAAATAAACCAGGCTTTTATTTGCAAACAGAACAACAAAAGGCAAGATGGAGCACAGGGAGTGAGAGAGAGGGTGAAATCATATCAGGATGAATAAAAACTTCTATCTGTCTGATTTGGTGGAGCTACAGAAACAATAAGGGTTCAGGAGTTGTTTTGCCTATTTATTAATGTGATTTGTGAACATAGACTTTCAGGCTCAGGTTGCTCCAAATAAAAATAGTTTATATCGTATAGTACTTTTGGCATAAATCAGCTCAACAATAAAAAAACTACATTTAATATTTATAAAAATTTATTATTTATAAACAAAACATTTTGAACCCAGTTTATCATCTAAAAACAATCAACTCTAAACAGGTATCTGAAACACAATATTATTAAATTGTTTATTTTCAGTATGTTTTAATCTAATTGATGGTTTTTTAGGGGATTGTGATTGGTATATATTATGTATATATCTACATTAGCACCTATGTAAGTACAAACATGCTCTGTCTCTTTCTCATTCCTGCTCAGGAGTAATAAAATGTAAAAAGGAACGTGGCTCCACTGAGACGTGCCCTCAGTGTTCCTTTCCTCAACATCTGAACGGCACCCAGTTCCTTGGGTTGACTCCAGGGAAGCTTACCTGCGAAAGACCAGTTCTTCGCTCCCCTCTCAAACAATGGGACAATCCAGCATGGGCTGAAAATGAAGCAGAGCCTGATCTCCCATACACCCAGGACTTGGAGAAACCTTTGGGCCAACTGATCATTGTTCTCTCTGACAGCCATGGAAACCGTGCTCACGTGGCGTGTGACGTGCGCCATCCGGGAGACGGTTCGCTCATGACATGGGCTGCAAACCCACATTCCCCTCTAGAGTTATCTGTAAACGTGTCGCTGATGACTGTTCTCGACTGTGAAATCGATCGAGAAACACTGCAAAATCTGTGGCAGCTGGTTGCATACTACTATGAAAGCCCTGCAATTTTGGAGAGAGGTCAGCTGAGAGCAAATACAAGCAGAGCTACTTATCAGTATGTCCAAGTTGTGAGTGAGAACTCTCCTTATTTCACAGAATTAAAAGGATATTTAGAAGCAGAACCTTCATGGTTGCTTCAACCAAGAATCACACTGAAGCTAAACAGACAGCAGACAACTACAAAGAAACTTGTAATGGATTTTACTACTTTAATTACGAAAGAGATAAATGGTCTTCAAGGGAAGGATGAAGATAACTATGCTTCTTCATGGGCATTAATACGCAGAGGAACAACTGGGCGGGTTCAGGCTGCTTTTGAGGGTTCAAAGGTTCACTTAGAGTGCAACGTCATAACTTCAGCCTCAGACGTGAAAGTGGAGTGGATGCTTCCAGATTTGTCCACTGTTGAAGCTCCAACCAAGAAGATAGAAATTTCTGAAAAAGGGCAACTGATCATTGTAAATGCCACACTCTCCGACTCGGGCCTCTACCACTGCATCGTCAGAACAAAAGCCGGAGTGGACTTCATGCCACTGAGACTCACCATCAAAGAACACTCGCTAGGCCCCACAGCTTTAAATGGTGAAAAGATTACAGTGCAGAAGGGAAACACTTTGTCTCTTCCTTGTGACGTCATGTCAGTTCAGCCCAGTCAAACTTGGTGGTACCTGCCCAAAAAACAAGTTCTTCTCCCCACACAGCAAACAAAAAAGGCAGAAGTGATGCCAAACGGGACTTTGGTTGTCAAACGGATGACAAAGGAAGATGCAGGTGACTATAGCTGCTTGGCCTCCAATCTGTACGGCGCTGACATGCTGTCTCACATAGTGGAAGTTGTTGGAGAAGAGACTAAGTCTAAAGTACAAACTGAAAAAGAGCAGACAGTTCTGACTCTTGGCATAGAAGAAAGGGAGGGTTCAGGAGGAGATTACCAAGAAATTACTCGCCCTTTTGCCACACAGCTCCCAGAGAAGGTAATGCGACCACAAAGGAAGCCAAATGGGTTTTTAAACAGAATGAAAGATTCAAAAAGAAAGCCTAACAAATCTGTCAAGGAATTGGATCCAAATCGTTGGGCAGAGATATTGGCTAAAGCTAATTTAAAACCAGATTCTCTTCTCCCCACAGAGCCATCTCTAGAAGAGCCAAGTACTGTAACCATCCAAAGAACTACACCCAAACCTGTGACTGTTGGTGCGACTGTTAGCACTAATCGTTTACATTATTTTACTTCTCCTTCTTATTCTGACCAAACTTCTCCCTTACACCAAAATGTTAAAAAAGGAGATCGCTATAAAGTTCCTGAAATAATAAAAAATCATCAGCAGGTTTTACAATCTTCTCTTCCAGACCCATCCCTACAACATGGTATCACAGACCCCCAGGGTAGTCAAGCCAATTGGCCTGTTAGTGAGTTGGAAAATAAACATCTTGGGGAAAAAAGAGGAAACTCCAACGCTGTTCCTGGTGTGTCTAACAGAAGACAGCCCTTTCACAGACGCAGAAAACCTCTACTGAGACGAATCCATCCACACAAAAACCCTCTCCACCATTCATCTAGCAAACCTCAAATGTCAGTCCTCACACCAACAACCACTACCACAACTACAACCACCACCACCACTACTACCACTACTACTACTACTACTACTACCTCCGCTACTACTACAGCAATGCCAACGCCAACCACCACAGAACACCATGAATCTTCTGAGTATCAGATAGAGGGAGATTATGACAAATACTATGAAGAATATGATTACAACGACAGTAAACATTTGGATACTACAGATGATCTGATCAGTGAAACCCTACAAAATACTTTTCTTGACAACAGCATTACCCCTTTCCCATTAGTTACAGAGAGAAATCCATCTATAGTTGGACAAGATTTAACAAATCCTCCTCCAAAGAGAAAAAGTCCAACTCTATGGAGCACTGAAGACCTAGTAAACTCTGAGAAACCTGTGGTAGAGACAGAACATGATGGAGAACATACTGTCCAAAATAGCAACAATAAAAACATTTTAGTAGAGAATAAAAGGAAAAGTGTGACCACAATGGAAGAGCAAGAAAGGGTAACAAAGAACCAGGAAAAACTTAAAAAAGAGCTGGTTACTCAGAGCTACAATACAAAAGGCAACATTCAAATACACAACAGACCAATGCCAAATGTTCAGCCTGCACCAAAACAAGTCCCATCAACCCATACAAGAACTTTATCCCCTAAGGACTCTTCATCAGGCAGAACAATGGAAGAGGGTATACAAACGGAGGCTAAGGTGATGAAAGAATCGAATAAAAAGCCTGAAACCCACCATAGTCTCATTATGGAACCACTTCACCCTTGGCTTCAACATAACAACCAGGGAGGGCAAACCACCAATTCCAGGGTTACTCATACCAATCAAGAGAGAAATACAGAAAAACTGGGTGGAGTGTATCCAAGTAGACATTTACAGCCTCCGAGAGTTCCTCCAACCTCCCACTGGTCTGCCCCTCATTATCCTCATCATTACTACCCTGTCTACCCCTCCTGGCCAGGTCAAAGAACATTTCCTCAACCAAGGCAAGGTAAATGCAGCCACTGTGTAATAACTTTCAAATGTCTGTAATAAAATAATTGAGCTAGACTTATTGAGGAAACAACAGATATGTTTACTTGACTCCGTAATGTTGACAGTGTTATTTTTAGCAATGCCCCTTTAAATCTTAGATACAGAATACGTTCTCCTCCTAGGTCCTGATTCACACCCTGCACCGACCCATCGATCCTGGCCTTTCCCACACCCTTGGGCTCATGGTTCATTTGTGACTAACCGACCAGAGATAACAGCTGACACAGTAAAACCCAATCCTACGGTCACTGAAGTCCCTGACTCAGAGAACTCAAGATCCATCAGCCATCATTACCATCAAAACCCCTATGTCGACAGCAGAGCCCAACAGAGAGATCATTTGTTTCTTTCAAGACTCCGAAATAGATACAGACAGGTATGATAACATTCTTCTAGTTCTTTGCTGAAGGGTTGCAACATATTAAAGGGAATTCTGACTAGCTGTAACACTAGATATTATTTGAAAAAACAACAACATTTGCTTCAACTATAAAACTGACACTGTAAAAATACTGTAGGCTATGTAGGATTGTCATTGTAATTTACATCAAAGCATTCTGGGTAAAGGACATGTACTGGCTCCTCCAGTGCGAGCTCCATCTTGAAGATTAATCTCAGACAGTGTCTGATGGTAAATGGTAAATGGTACTGAACTTATTGAGCGCTTTTCAAGTCCCTCCGGACCCCAAAGCGCTTTACACTAACAGACATTCATCCATTCACACTCACATTCACACACTGATGATGGCAAACTACACTGTAGCCACAGCTGCCCTGGGGCACACTGACAGAAGCGATGATCAGCCCTTTTAAAGAGCCTATATGCCACGGTCATTAATGACGTATTTCCAGTAAAATTCCAGCCCAGCACCTCTCTTCCACTTCCTGGTTACTGCCTTTGTTTATAGCGTAAGCTCCTAATCCTACTCCATGAAAAAGTCACAAAAGTTAAATTATCTGTGAGCTACTGGTATAAAAAGTGAGTTCTGTTGTGTGCCGTTGTGTCCACTAACCAGCGGGTACAATCGAGTAGTTACTTTTTCTTCATTTTCCTCTAAAGGAGGAAAGGTGACAGCAGTGGATCATAGATATACAGGGAAAACTTATCTTTAAAAGCTCACGCTCGCGTTTGTAATCAGCATTTCTAACCTGAGGATATTCAAGAGCCAGTATCAGAAATGAGAAGACAGAGGTTACAAAAGGGAAATGTACAATTATCCCCCTTTACTGCCAAGACGAGAGAGGAAAAACCACCTCCAGAGGACAGCTAGCAGGAAGCTAACACACAGCAGCCGGTACAAAGGTAGGTGTGTGTGTGCGCGTTTGTGTTAGACAGAGTAAGAAATGTTTTAGGCAACTTTGTCATGAGTTTTATGCAAAAGTAAAAACTTGTTAGAGTGTATATTACAGCGTAAACAAAACACGAGCGATGAGCACGCCCCCTCTTCCCCCCGATAGCCACAGAACCTCCACCTGATAATCATTACGTTTTCAGTTCACAAACGTCGGGAAAAACAATCCAAACCATACAAGCAGCCCATCAGTTTAAAGTCTAGATTCTGCTCTTTCCAACAATTTAAGTGTCACAGCTCTACATGAAAAATTTACAGAAAAACAGCCAAGGAATAGTGAAAAAGGCTAAATTCTGGAACCATAAACACGAACGTCTTTCCTTTGTTTTTATGGCTTTAATCCACTTTGGAGTGATTTTTTCCCACTTGGTTGGACCTGTACGTCTCCTGTGTTAATGTTGGTACATGTAATATGCTAATTCTGTACTGTGGAGGTCATTAAGAGTCGTTGTCAAGTGAAAAAATCTTTTGCTAACACTGTGTTGCCTGCGAACCGGAAATGATCGGCGTGGCCCCAAGTGCTAGACCGGATGTCTGTGGCATATAGGCTATTAAACAACCTCTGAACAAACAAGATTATGCACCCCCTGTGCCCTCTGTCGCCCCCTTCAGGTTGGCAACTACTGCTGTAAACTGACATTGATCTTGATAATAAGACAACGTATTTTCTACATCAAAGTAAAATTCTCTTTTGCTCCCAACACTTTTACAAACATTCCTTTGACACTGGGACATTTTAGAAAACTACCACTAAAAGAAAACTAACACTGAATAAGTAACATTGACTTTCCCACCCCCAGGCCCAGCTTGAACGCATCGCTCAGCTCAAAAGGATAGTGACACCCAAACCTAAGAGCAGCTACTACAATCTTCAGCCCTTGATTAAACCTAACCCCACCCCTCCAGCCCTGCGTAGGCCTCACATCCTGAAACCAACGACACCCATGGCTGTTTACCCTCTAAAGCACCCAAACCTTTCTAAACCTTCCTTATCCCCATTCAAAGGCTTCATCCCAACCCCTCCTCCCCCCCAGCTCCCCACCACCTCTCTGACTCTGCATGGAGGTGGGTGGCCTTCTGGAGGTATGTGCTGAGCTAAAATTTAAGAGAAAAGTGTTAAACTTGTTTCACGGTTTTCATTTATTTATGTACACCTTCCTAAAGAACGACTCAGCTCCCAGCATCCGACGCCTGTGCCTCCGTTCCTGTGGCAGCTGGGAGCTGGTGGAGTAAAACCTCGGATCACCACCATTTCCTCAGCCAGCGTGTCAGTGCTGGCGGAGGATGATGTCTTCCTGCCCTGCAAAGCAACTGGGAATCCTCAACCCAGTATTGCTTGGACCAAGGTCTCTACAGGTAAAAACACACAGAAAATAAGAAAGGAAACAAAAAGTCAAGAGAAAAAATATTCACCCACATTCACTACTATAATAATAATAATAATAATAATAATAATAATAATAATAATAATAATAATAATAATAATAATAATGCATTTTATTTATAAAGCACCTTTCAGGACACCCAAGGACGCTGTACAATAGAAAAGAAATAACTATATATACAATGATAAGGGTAGTGCGGGACAAACATAGAAATGAGTAGTACAGAACAGTCATATAATAAAATACAATAATATAGATAAATGGAAAAAAACAGTCATATATTGAAAATCAGAGTTAACAGTGGTAGGTTAATTTGAAAAGATGTGTCTTCAGGCCAGTCTTAAACAGAGAGAGAGAGGTGATATTCCGTAATCCATGGGGACGTGAGTTCCAGAGCTGCGGAGCAGAGTGGCTGAAAGCTCTGCTCCCCATGGTGCTGAGGCGGGCAGGGGGTACTGAGTTGGAGGGAGGAGGCAGATCTTAGAGAGCGGGAGGGTGTGGAGATGTTTAGGAGGTCAGACAGGTAAGGAGGGGAGAGATTGTGGATAGCTTTGATGGTGTGTGTGGGAGAATTTTAAAGATGATGAAGGATTTAACTGGGAGCCAGTGGAGCTGTTGTAGGACTGGAGTGATGTGGGATTTAACTGGGAGCCAGTGGAGCTGTTGTAGGACTGGAGGGATGTGGGCAGAGGATGAGGTTTGAGTGATTATACGGGCTGCTGAGTTCTGAACCATCTGTAGTTTGTGAAGGGATTTATTGGGGAGGCCAAACAATAGGGAGTTGCAGTAGTCGATCCTGGATGTTACTAGGCTGTGTACAAGGATGGCAATGGAGCAGGGAGTGAGTGAAGGACGGAGACGTTTCATGTTGTGGAGATGAAAGTAGGTAGATTGAGTCACATTGTTAATGTGGGATTTGAAAGAAAGTGTGGTGTCAAGGATGACACCTAGGTTCTTGACCTGAGGTGAGGGGGAAAGAACGGAGTTGTTAAAAGTGAAGAGAAGATGCTGGGATTTGGAAATGGAGTTTTTTGTCCCAACAAGGAGGAGTTCAGTTTTGTTATGGTTTAGTTGGAGGAAATTGTCGGAGAACCAGTTGTTGAGCTCACTGAGGCTGTCGGTAAGAGTGGAGGATGATAAGGTGGAGTTTGGTTTTGATTAAATGTAGAGTTGAGTGTCGTCGGCATAAGATTAGAAATGGATACCAAATGTACGGAAGATGTGGCCAAACGGGAGCAGATAGATTATGAAAAGTAGAGGCCCGAGTACAGAACCTTGGGGAACACCAGTGGAAATGGATGAAGACTGGGAACAGAAGGACTTGAGCTGTATGAACTGAGTGCGGTCGGAAAGATAGGATTTAAACCAGTCCAGGGGGGTGTCTGAGATGCCGATAGAGGTTAGTCTGTCGATGAGGATAGGATGAGAGATGGTGTCAAAGGCAGAGCTCAGATCAAGTAGGATGAATATAGACAGAAGTCCTGAGTCAGCAGCAAGAAGAAGATCATTAGTAATTTTAATCAGAGCAGTTTCGGTGCTGTGATGTGGTCGAAAACCTGAGTGAAACTGTTCATAGAGGTTATTGCTGGAAAGGTGTGAGTGAAGCTGATAAGCTGCACAACAGCTGCCCCTAATGACGGGTGTTGGCTTTTAGCACCACTAGTGTTTGGCTTCGTTACCAGCATTTTGTACAAGTACTCGAACAAAATGCCCCGATACCTGGCTGAATGTGTTACAGTTTACATTTCAAGTGAAAGTTTGTTGACCTTGTTATTTTTGTTCATTTTAAAATGTTTTAGCAGTATACATCAGGCAGAGGTCTATAAAATACTTGAAAAAAATAACTAGGTAAAAGTAAAATTACATAAATGAGAAAATGACTTGGGTAAAAATAAATTTCACCGATGAGAAAACTACTTAAGTTTACATCATAAAAATGTTCACAAAAATCGAAAAATTAAAACTAAAGGTACTTTTACACACTAAGAAATAAACTGTTGAATTTACTAAATCAAAATTAGACCATATACATATTTACTTTTAAAGAAAATAAGTATTCCCTCATATTTACTCTATTAGTGGGACCAGTGGACATGAGTTGGTTGAGTAAATTCAACACGTCATTTTTTAGAGCGCATAAACAACGCCTTTCATGATGAGTTTGGACATTTTAAAGTAAAGAAGTAAAAGTATCATTTTTAGGTCTTAAATGTGATGAAAGTAATTAAAAGTAAAGATTTAAAAAATAAATACATGTACTTACAGTAGTTACTACAAACCTCTGAAATTCAGGTCATTTTTCTTGATCTTTGTGAACATTTTATTCAAGCAGTATGTGAACGGTACGATGATTTGAACTGTAGCCAACTTCAATTATGTACTTTTTACTCGCTTGTCTGCTCCGTACAGCACAAAGCAGCCTCTCTTTTAATGACAACTACTGAAACGCATATGTTTTCAATGATCATGCAGCTATGAGTCATACGTTTTAAAATGGCAGCATTTACCATCAGTTAACTTTGTGTGACTGGATGGTTGAACAAACCAGAGAAAAGGGAAGAATTGTATGCGAGGGTTAGACTCCACCGCAAAGAATCTACAAGGCAACTCTCTTAAATCCACTTTTTTAGCCGTCAAATGCAAATGGTCATGTATTTGGAGTCGCTACGAGTGCAGAAATTTTAAAATTAGCTTCTCCTGGTGTTGCGTAGATGTCTTTATAATCTGTTTGGGTTATATTTTTCAACCCAAAATGTCCCTATGCCACTATATAGAAAATATAGAGCCATATACTTTAACTATAAAGAGACAGCCTCAAAATGAGTTGATCTGAGACACACCTCAGAAAATTGGTGAACGAGGGGCTTGTGGAGTTACAATAAGGAGGAATTCAGACCAAAGCATTGCAGTTCCACTTTATATAGAACCCCAACTGTACGATTTAAATGTGAAAAAGACAGATTTGATAGC